GCGCACCAATACTTCCGCTTGATATCAAACCTATCTGCTCTGTGAAAACGAGAAAGCGGATAGGAATGGGTCTCTACTGGTGTGTAGTCAACTTCACACCCATGGCTGAGAATGCCCACTTTCTCTTGTTTCCAATAATACCACCCCGCCTTCCAGCCTGTGCACTTCAAATGAATGGCTGCCCTTCACTGGCCCACCCCAGCACACAGACAGGGCTTCTGAGGACTTGTGTGCCAGAATGTAGTAGTTCCTCCATAGAGTTCTACAGATTCCCAGAAGTTGAGCCCATGTACCTTCAATGGGCATGTGGCTATGCATATTCCTGAGGGTATGGGAGGTTACTCCTGCTGCTGCTGCCTGGAATGCAACTCCTAACTCTGGGCCTGGCCCTCCCCTTCAATGCTCCACAGACTCACAATGTCTCAGAAAACCTCTACTAGGAGCAAACCTACTTTCACCTCCCGTATGTAGTTTATCAACTAAGGCACTACCATGGGAGCAGCTGGTCAGAAGGGTCTGGCAGGGGATGGGGGTGACGGGCAACATCACAGGTGTACCGCTCTGGGCCTAGAAGCCCAGGGATGCATCTGTAAACAGCAGCCTTCTCCAATACGATGTGGTTTGCTTTTGCTTTTTGCACTAGAACTCAAACCTAGAGTGCAGCACATGCTAAGCAAGCACACTACCATTTAGCTGTATTTCTAGCCCTCCAGTAGATTTTTGCAGGCTACCTGAGCCATGCATAGGGAGGGGTTGGTGTAGGATTGTTACTTCGGGGCTTGGCAGCTTTCTAGTGCCTGGGCCTGATTACTCTTATACTTACTTTTCCTCAGAGACAATGCTCTAAATGAGGTTCTAGGCTCACAAGAACAGGTCCAGCGCAGTTTCATATTCCCCTCATCAGTACTCTTCAGGGACTGGAAGCATGCCTGGTCTGTAGCTTCTGTGGGGATGTCTTCCTCCACAACTTATGTCCATGTCTTGGAGGGCCTGCTCTGGGTCACCCACTCAGTCTGGGCTCCATGCTGACTACTGTCTGGAACTCTCTGGATGTGCTTCTCATTTTAGGCATCAGCCTGGCTTCTAACATGGGCTAGATTGAATGACCTGTGAGGGGACCTTGTTTCTCTGTCTAGAGGTCTCATTGGCATGAGCAAAAGAAATAATCCTGTTAACAATTACTTTCTAGAAAGTTTCTAAATGAGGGAAAGATGAAAGTAGAGGAAATGTTTAAGAAGATAACAGAAACTCATTTTATAGAACTACAGGGAGAGCCTCCAGTGAGTTAGGAGACAAAGGCATCACCAGCTACCTTTCTGAAGACAACGGAGCATGATGAACACTCCAATCCTGAACACCCCAAAGCCAAATCTGCCTGCCCAAGGTAAAGGGTAGTATCCACAGGGAGCTGCTCACTAGCTGCTGTGGGACCACTGAAAGGACCACTTTCCTTTTACTGTTTTGAGCCCAGAGCTCTGTGTCCAGGCCCAATGCATGATCAAGTTTTGGGATCCAAGGGCAGGGGGGTCTGTGCACAAGCCCACAATGCAGACATGTGCTGAGAAAGCACAGAGTGTGAGGTGGAGACACAAGAGAGGGAGTGTGATGTAGTGAGACAGGGGCCCGAGGTGGCCCAGTAACTTGGAATACAGGATCAGATTTTAAAAGTTTGGACAAAAAAGGAAAAACCATATTTGTAACAATCCCAAGGTAAAATAGTAGACAATACACTCTTGTAAGGAATGGGGAAGGGCCAGAGAGTTTAAGGAACTTCTTTCATTTCACATGTGCGGCCAGCATGAGGAATCTATAATTTCAATGAAAATTGAAGCAGTATGATAATGGGAGGTATGAAATAAAATAGTATAAACTCTAATGTTATAGTATGTTAAACTTTGTTAAAAGATGGAGAATCTTGACATAAAACCAAGATCTCGCGGCTGGAGAGATGGCTCAGCAATTAAGAGCATTGGCTGTTTTTGCAGAGGACCCAGGTTTGGTTCCCAGCACCCATATGGCAACTAAAAACTTTCCATAATTCCAGTTCCAGGGGATCCAATGCCCTCTTCTGACCTTTGTGGGCAATACACAACATGGGTGCACTTACATACATGCAGGTAATACATTCATATACAGAAAATAAAAAGAAAATATAAAAAACCAATTATCAATAGGCAGCCAAAGTCCTACAAAAACTAGAGAAGTTGGAAATGAATCAATGGAGAAATAAGATACAAAGTAAATACCAAGGAGCATCTAGTATCTGTTGGAACAGCACTTAGGGCTGAGGATCCATGCAGTGGAGAGACAAAAATGAGATGGGGGTCTCTACCCCATGCCCAGCCACAGCACATCTCATGGCTGGCCAAGCTGCAGTGAGATAGATGACAACCAGCAGCCACTGTCATTGTCCAACACACCCGTGATTAAGGGGACCTCCACCCCCATTTTCTGATGTTTGCTACTACAGGTTTCAAGGTTCCTACACCATCTGGGCAAGCCAAACAGAAAACCTATGAGCCTTCCGTGGGGGCCTGCAGTCAGTCCCAAACCACATGCAGAAATCCCACTACCTATCTCCTAACCAACAGAAGCACCTTTCCTTTCTTGCTCCAGCCATCTTCAGAGCAGCCTGGGGCTAGGTCTGTGACCCATTTCCACCCGTGTAGGCTGGATATGACCTTAGTCTGCCTCCCTGAACTCTTTTAATAACTTGATGACAAAAATGGGTCCACCCGGAAAATCTAGGATTATCTCCTTAAAACCAGCTGAAAGGAATCCTTAATTTGTAACCTTACTACCTCTGGCCATGGAACATATCTGTGAGATTCACCCAGGGATTAGATCATCACTCTGCCTCCTGCAGGGACCAAAACATAAAAATAACCAAGGATGTTCTAGACAGGACAATATAATGATTCACAAAGACCTTCACAGCCGGTAAGGAGAGTGTCTTCTATTTCAGAAGACACAGGCAGTACAGAAACCCACCGAGCTGGTCACAGGACGCTCAACAGTACCAAAGGATCAATGATGGGGAAATTACAGACATAATGCAATACACTCAGTAAGAGAATCTCGTGTGCGAACATTTAATACTCTTCTAAGGGCCTTTGGTAAGTGGAAATCTTGAGGGAAATGAAGAAACCAGAATTGAATGATACTGTCATATGTCAAAATTCACAGGACATAGCTAAAGTAGTACCCAAAAATTTATAATCTCAAACACATTTCTCAACAAGTTAGGTGAGAAAAGAATCACAGAGGTTATCAAAGAAAGAGCAGTTTAACAAAGCAAGTAGACATTAAAGGGAATACATTGACAAAATTACTGAAATGGAGAACCGTTAAGTATTGTTCATAGCAAAACCAAAGGTGATACTTTGAAAAGATCCACAAGATATATTGATTTTGACAATACAGAGAGAAAAGGGAGGAATATTCAAATAAAGAGGCTGAAAATAACTATAAAGAGACTAAAAAAAATCTTCAAGACAAACAGCTGAATTGGCACCCCGGAGACATTAGGTACAGCAAGGTGCTGGGCGCTGCTTATGGTACACAGCACATGCTCACAAGAGGTAGTTTTTATCTTTTACCACAACAGCACGGCCTTTGACCCAGCCAATAGGTCTTAGTCCTTTCAGCTTATGAAACTTATTCCTTCATATGTAACTTTATGCTATTGTTTTTATAACATTGTGCATTCTAGGGTCAGACATGGAATTGCCCATCTTTATGGCAGTGACAATGACAGCTTGTGTCCAGTATAAACAGGAGTACTTACTTGACCATGACTCTTGAAAAAGTCAATTGTGTACCAGGTGCCAAGCACTGGGCCTGCAACATGGTGCTGCAGAAAGTCCCCCCATCCTGTCCCCTTGAGAGGATAAGTCTTGCCCGCCACTCAAAGTTGGGGTGGAACCAGGTCAGTCAGAGTGGGTGGAGGATGGAGTTAGAGCTCCAGGCAGGCCGCTGGAACCAGGTCAGTCAGAGCAGGTGGAGGATGGAGTTAGAGCTCCCAGCAGGCCACTTTGCCCTGCGCTCACATATTTCCCTAGTGCTGTCCAGACTGAGAAGAAACTGAGGAGAAAGTCTTGGGGAGCTACCTCATGTCCAGAGGACATGTTGGGTAATTCCTCAACTAGTCCTGGCTCTATATTAGAAACACTGAAAAATACAAAATGAGACTTCCAGCAAGCTCTTGGTTACCAAGGAGTCACTCTGCAGAAAGCGGGGCACTGCACTCCCCTCAGGCCTCCTGGCTCCAGTTCTCCATCCTCACACTGACCACCACCAGTCACCCTCTGTGCTCAGGCAGGAGATGCCTCCCATTTACTTATCTTCAAGGATGACAGGTAGAGCTGAGCCTCCATAACCAAGGTCACCTCTGACCTTCAGTCCACATCAGATGTGGAACAACTCGTCCAATGAGCTCTGTGGAACAGTGTTCCTCTGTGTCTGCATGGGACAGGATGGCCAGTGGAACCAAGACCTTGCCTCTGAGGCCTTGCCAAACCTAGTTCCCATGGCCCTTGAGGCCACAGTAGGGTCTTTTACTTTCAGTAAGGAAAATCCCCACAGCCTAGCAGGTAAGGGAACTGGAGCAGCCCTGGGGTCTCAGGAGCCAATGGACTGGGGGAGTCAGGCATGAGAACGCACCCCAAGGGGCATCACTGCTTTTTCTACACAGGCAGTGGACAAGAAGCCAAATCAGGTTGGCCCAGAGTTGTTCCATGGGCAGCTCCATGCTGGGCAGTTTTACAGAGTTGGAACCTGGCACTAGTGTCTGGACAAGAGAAGGGTTTTCATTTTTGTCATTTTAAGTATTTTTACAGACAGAACATGATGGTAAAAGACCCAATGCAAGTAATAGAAAGAATGGAATCTTCATTTGCCTGTGAGAAGGAACCCAAGATCTCTGGATTCTCAGGCTAGCCTCAGGTGGGTCTCATGGATATGGGAACCGAGAGTGGCAGAGCAGAGAGAAGCCAGAGCCATCGGGGAGGAACGTGACATTTATTGAACTCTGATGGATACAGATGGGCTTCCTGGTAAGTCCTTGCTCTTAGCCACCATGGAAGATAACTGGGGGCCATGAGTGCCTTGCCCCCTGATATGAGACATCCAATGAAACCAGGGTCCCGTCCCACCCTCTGGCACTCTGCTTCTCAGACATTCCCCAAGTCCCTCCTTTCCTGGGGCACTTCCCTGATTTCAGCATAACAAATTAGGGTGGAAATTCAAGTCAGCAGACCAGGTAGGAGAGGAGGGTATGTGAGAACAAGGGATAGTAGGACACAAGAAATGCTGCCAAAGCATGAAACTAACTTTTAAACAGATAGTCACAGATATTGAGGAACGAATTTCTGAAACATCACATATGGGAATATGCTGAGCATTAAAGTAAAGAGTTGCATGCTAATGTGTGGAGGCTATACTAACACAGAGCGCACAGAGCCTGAGTGGACAGACACACACTATTGTCTGTTTATAAAGAAAACGCTCTATTCATATCTGCGAGGAAGGACAGGCGGTCTGTACAGTGTGCAAGCCAGTGAGGCTGCAGGCTGGAGCCATCAGATGTGTGGAGCAGAGGATCCTGGGTAGGTTAGAGCGCACCCATGCCGGTGACCTCAGATGTCAGCCTGGAACAGACAAAAGGCACAGGGGATGCATCACAGACTTCTTGTAAAGTGGGTTGGAGCTGTCACACTAGGGTGAGAGGCACCTCATCACTTGCTGCACATGTCGATTTTAGAGGACGAACTCTCCTAGATTGCCATTCAGCACCTATGAGCTAGAGGACACACTTAGCACACTGGGCTGAGGCCTGTCAGATCAGATCTGTGGGGTCTTCTTTCCCTAAGGACTTGGTCACAGGAGGAGCTGTGACACAGATGGGAACCCTGGCCAGTTTCAAAAGGGCTGCTGACACTGTACTCAGAACAGGTGAGACAGAAACTGGCATTTCCCCGAGCCCTACCCCCAGATTCACTCTAATTCTGCTAACACTCCAGGTCCTGCTCTTATCCTGAAAAGGCCTGCCCGACCCTTGCCTGGCCTCTGCCCTGCTGAGGTAGGTGGGCTTAAGGTCAGAAATGGGCACAGCCTGAATGCTAAATGGGAGGAGGTAATGGGAAAATGGAGAGCTGGGGAGTTCAATGCTCTTGTCCAGTCCTGTATACATTTCAAGCCTGGAGCTTGGGTTGGTCACCAGGATGGGGAGCAACAGGCCCATGCAGGGGAACATCCACTTGTTGGCACTGTCAGTCTCCCCCACCTGCAGGCTCAGCTCTCTAGGAGTTTACCCCAGGGTAGGGGAAGGTGTGTTCCTTAGGATGCCCATGCCATGCTCATGTCTACATGATGGAGGGTGGAAGGGGTGCTTGTGGAGCTGAACAATGGTACGACCCTGCCACGAGGGCTGCTCTGTCTTGTCGTTGTCCCGCACTGTTCTGTGAAGATGAAGAATGAGGATCTGGTCCAGGCTGTCTCCTGAAGGGGCCAGATCTAGGGCTTCTTTTTGGCTATGGCGTCACTGCTACCCTGCCAGGCCCCTCAATGCAGCTTCTGGGCTCCTTGTGGGTGAGTGGAGTGGCTCTTGTCTGTGTGGTTGTTGTCTCTATCACGGCTCTCTCTACATGCTACCAGAAAGGAGGGCATGCTTGGGTTTTTACTGCCTTAGCTGGGATGCGGGGCTCAGGCCATGGCTAGCAAGGGCCCCATGAAGGCCCCAATGTCCTGAGAGACACTCACCTAGCATTGATGAGATACTGGGCAAGGCTGATATTGGCTGGGGTCCCCGTGATGGTGATCTGACGCTCTGACGACCCTTCGGTGGCATTGGCAATTTTGATCTGAGCTCCAGACATCTGTCGAATTTCATTGATTTTGGTCCCTTGGCGTCCAATTATGCAGCCTATAAGCTAGAGGAAGTGATGGAGGAATCTCTTAGAGAAGAGCCCAGGAGCGCCTCCTTAGGGTGCCTGACAGAGTCCTGTGGGGACAACTAAGGGTATAGGCTCCTACAGTGCCCATGAACTTAGTGGCCTTCCTGTGCAGGGTGGAAAGAGAAGTTCAGAATATGTGAGTGAGAGAAGCTGCCTTCTAAGAAGCAGCACCCTTCTCTAGAAAGACTTCTAGGAGGACAGCACAGGCTGGGAAAACCAGTGCTCACACACTGTATAGCAGGCATGGCAAACAGGTGTACAACTCTTACAAGACCTAGCCTCCTGTGTCTTAAGTCCATTTCAGCTTAAAAGAAAGCTTGGGTCAGAGCACTTGCACTGTGGGTGTGAAACAAGATTCAGGTTAGCAGCCTTTAAGGAGACTCCCTACCTGGTGAAAACCCAGAGGCTGTGGGAGCCCATGCATTGTACAAACCATGGCACAAGGAGGGGAAAGGGGAATGTACAACACAGAACGCTTCCATCTACAAAGCAGAGGGGGAGGTGACCGTGACACTCTTACCCAGAAAGACAGTCTGTCAAGTTGGCCCAACCTCAGAAATGTTCTAGGAGCTGAAAGGTTACACAGTGATGCTACCATTCCACCTGGGTTGAGTTCCATGTAACCTTCTAATGACCAGGGGAACCTGAGCCTGTCAGATAGCAGAACAGATGCCTGGGGTTGGTGGCAGTGCCTCTGTATGGCCCAGCTGCAGCAGGATGGACTGGGGAAGCAGGGAAGACAATGTCTCCTGGCAGCTCAGAGGCACCAGTTGGAGGGGCTTGTAGTGTCCCTGGCCTGCTTGCTCTGTTGCCCAACTGTCTGCTCTCTTTACTCAAGCCTGGGATCCCCCTGAATTCCCAAATATGTCTTTACTATGGTTGGCTCACATGGAGGGAAGAGGCAGGTCTGGGGTTTCTTGTCTGGCTGGTGCAAGGAGAGGAAAGTAAAGGTTCTTCAAAATCCAAACTAGTAGGTGAGAGAGATACATCAGTGGGTGGGTAAAGTGCCTGCCACACAAGCATGAGGACCTGAGTTCAAGCCCTGGCACACATGTAAAAATGTGGGTGTGGTGGCATGCACTTATCACCCTAGCACTGAAGGAGCAGGGACAGGTAGATTCCTGGGTAGGGCTTGATGCCCAGCTAGGCTCGGAGAGCCACATGTCCCAGTGAGAAGACTGTCTCCGAAAACAAGGTAGATGGCTCCCGACACCTGGGCTTGGCCTCTGGACTCCTATGCATGTGTGGGGTGCAGGTGGGGACTAGCTTTAGGACAGACTGGGACTGGATAAGACCTGGACAGCGGGCAGTCCCTTCATGTTCCATAGACTTTCTCCGTTGCTACCTTAGCAAGGTCTCTCAAAGACATGGCCTTTCCTTCTCTCCCCATCAGGGGGGTGGTCTAGCAACTCAGAGATTGTCCCCTACCTCTCCTCCAGGCCCCTACTCAGTCTAGAAAGACCAAGTGTGCTGAGAGATGCTCTTGAGACCACAGCTGTGTTGTTCCTGGGGCAGGAACAGACTAGGGCACTAAAGTAAGGAATCCAGACAAACTGTGACATCCAACCAACTTCAGGTCCCAGAGAATGCCAAACCTCCAGTGTGGGTGACTTTACTGCAGAATCTTTCTGGGTTACCCTATTCTCCAAGCCCCTAAGTCAGAGTGCCGCTGTCATCACAACACAGACTCCTAGCCCAGCCCTGGCACTGACTTCTGATTCACCCTGATGTCCTCAGTGCCCCTTAACTGTATGCCACCTTGGGGATGTAAAACTGTACTTTCATGGACAGTGTATTAGCTTAAAGTGGGAAAGGGAGGAGGAAAGAGATCCAACAGTGTGGCCTGGGCCATGAGGGCATCATGGGCAGTGAGAGACAGATGATTTTCTGTGTGAAGACAGGAGGTACAGAGGGCATACTCACATCATTGGGAATGGTGAGCTCGTGAGTGCTGGCTGGGGGGCTGGCATCCAGACCTGGGCATACCGAGGAGACATGGTTAGACTGGAGGGAAAGCTGCTCATTATCACACATAGACCCGGCCCACATTTCCTTGAGTTGGCCGAGGTAAGGGTCAGCACAGGCCAGGGGCCCAGGCTGTGGTACCTCCCAGGCCCAGGTATAATCCAACCTCCTGAGCCCCAACTTCTTTCAAAAGGAAAAGGAATTCCCCCACAGGAACATTTCCCTTGTTCCTTCTGGGTGCAACATGATTTCACCCCTGCTATGCTTGTTTAACTCTTGTGACAGCTTATACTCCTGTATAACTCTGGGTTAAGAGAGGGCAGCTATCATGTCTCAGGTCTCTGCAAGGCAGCAGGAGCACAGGCCATACTGGTCACAGTGGCATTCAGCAGTCATTCTCCCTCTGTCCAGGGAGAATTTGGTGCTGAGCGCCACGCTGCTCTACCTTGGGACCTCATGTAGTTCTGTTGCAGGTGGCTAGAAATGACAAAGCACACACTGTTCATTCTGCTGCTGCCCTAACTCTGTCCAAAGGCCACCACACATGGTTAAGCCCAGCTTTTCATCTTTGCAAATCTTAGCTTATGTCATCAGATAATAGGTAGCTTCTGAGTCCCAGTGCTAATTCTCTCCTGCCTCAGAAGTAGTGACAATACAGTCAGAGAACCACTGCAGTAGACGCTTCCACAGCTGTCCTCTGGGGCACTACATCCTCTGAATACTGCAGCCCCATTTCAATGAGAGGCAGCTCAAACCTGCAAGTCTAAAGCTGATCTCTGAAGCTGATCTCTGATTCTGCCTCCTGGATCCAACAAAGGTCCTGACATGGGGGCTGCTGCTGTGTCCAGACTCCAGGCTCTAGCCTTTCGGGATGGCCAGCCCCACCCATGTTCCTTCAGAATGTCCCACAACCCATGCCTGCTCTCTACTCTGTGCTCTTACTGGTCCCACCTTTCCTCCAACCACTGAGTCCCATATCCACATAGTCCCTAAGCCTAGAATCCCCCAAACAATTTCAGTGAGCCCCTACTTCTTATGGTGCCCCTCACTCTCCAAGCTTCTGTTCTAGCCTGGCCTCCCTCCCATCCCCAGGTCCCTGGGTGGATGACCTGCTCACAATCTTTCACATAGTGACACCTGCCAAGGTGTGACCCCGAGGGCAGATAGCCAACACAGTCGGGTCTAGGTAGAAGTGCTAAGCGAACCAATTTACCCCCAATTCTGCTGTTTCTTTTGCATACTTAAATCTGGAGTTTCTGTTCTTTATCTTCTTTTAATAATAATCTTCTTAAATACCAGTGATTTAGCTATTTAGTCATTATACACATTCCATAAATAGGGGCATATAAAATGTCATTTTGAAGGCTTTCTTAGTACTATTTGCATCCTGGACAGAAGGTCCTAGGGCAGCATAGCACATCTGTTGAATGTGGCATTTGACTGAGGCAGGAAAGAGAATACTTTTTCAGAGGCACCAAAATTAAGGGGCTAGCTAAGGACATGCCTGTTTAAAGCCTGTATTCAGGACAAGCCTCCGTAGCCAGGGCCATCACCATGCAGCTGATGGCCTATGCTAGGAGTAAAGCCTGGCCTGTGGTAGGAGCCTCCATACTTGGCTGTCTCATCACACACCTCATCCACTGCTGCTATGTTACCATGGGGGGTCCATGTTTTCATGAACATGTGCTCCTGAGGCAGGTCTCTCAGGCCTTGGTTGGGACAGAGTTGTCAGAAGGCAGCCAGGAGGCTGTAGTGTCAGCTGTGTGCACACACAATGGCCCATAAGGTCCATTGCCCTGAAGTGTCCTGGGAACAGGCATTTAAATGAAAGCCAGAAGAAAGCACAAAAATATTCATGTTCTAAGAGTTTGCTCCTGTGTCCAGAAAGATACATCTTTAACAAGCACATGCCACCCCTTGGTGCCACCCCTTGGTCCCTAGTCATTTTCACTGTGCATTCCCACATACTGCATAGCCAGAGAATTAGTGACAGAACAGACAGACCCTCCTCACATAGATGCACACTGCCTTAGGCCACCTGTGTGCTCAAGGGGTAACTGTATGCTGCATCTGCTCGGACCCACCATCCACCAACAGTTCAATGGACCCATCACTGGCTCTTGGGTGTTCCTTGAGGTGGCTCATCCATAGTCTGTGCCATGGGAAACTGCTGGCAGACATGGGCACCAGACACTCAGCTGTCCTGAGTGTGGGTGCCCCCTTCCTCTGCACATGGCCCCCCTGGCCTGCTCCCCAGCACTGTGGTCTGTGTTACCTGACGATTGGCCCATCAGATTTTGAGCTTCTTCGGAGGAGTGTAAAGGCAGCTTTTCTCCTGGAGAGCAAAGAAGAGAGAGGTTTACTGTTTTGCCCTCAAGGAGAGAAGCAAGTTCCCTTCAACTAGGGAAGCTCAAAATATGATTGGTGCATGCACGGCCGATGTGCATGGCCGGTGTGTTCTCACCGGCCATGGCCATCGGGCGGCTCTTCCTCTGTGAGAGGCACACCTGCTGTAGACGTCTGGCCAGGCTGTGGCCAGCCGCTCTGACTGCTTCACCATAGGCCTGGGTGGGAGCTAGTTCCTGTCACTGCTATCCCAGGCAGGGCTGTGCCAACCAGGACTGGGGCCACTCCTGTTGTCAGAGTGATTGCTTCGGGCAAAGGATGCGCTCCAGGGTTAGCCAAGAAGTCTTTGTGGGAAAGACCACCTGGGGATGGACTGTGGGTTTCATAGAGCACTGCTATGCACATACAGACCTTCAAAGGGCAAGAACATGGATGCCAAGAACAGTAAACTAGCCCACAAAGGGAGACGGAGAGACCCGCCCTGCCTCACTGCGTGCAAGCCCACTGTGTTACCACCACAGATTCAGCACTCAGTGTTGACAGCACCTGTGCTACTCACTGCACTGAATGGAGTTCAGAAAGAGAGTCCCCAGGTGAAAAGAGGTCAGAAAAGGGCAGCTGGGTACGTACCGGGGAAAGCGGGGTTGGTCTGTCCGAGGGGAGGAAAGGGGGTTTGCTGCATGGCCAACTGGTGGAGCTTGGTCAACTGCTGGGGTAGGAGGGACATGAGAGCTAAGAAGGTTATTGTTATCGAGTATAAGTCACACCAAGTTAAAAATGGCAGTAACAGAACTTTGCACAGAGAGGTTCAGAGGGGCCATGCGGACACATGGCAGACGCTGCAGCAGGACACAAGGACTTGGCCTGGGTGGAACCAATGGGCCTGGTTGTCAGCAGCCAAGGGCCTGAATCAGCTATGCCTGTCCCTCACCAGGCTGGTTGGGGGAGGGAAGGTAGGTAGGGGCCAGTGGCCCTGGGAGCTCTGAAAGACATGGAGCAGGGCCAGCTGGGCTCCTAAGACTGACATATCTGAGCTAGCACCTCTAAGGTCCAGAGAGGCAGGTCTTCAAACTTGCCCTGGATCTAGCCTCATGCTAGGCCTCACTCACCTGGCCTATAAAGCCACCTCCAGGGAACTTCCTGACTTACGCAGGGTGACAGGGCATGAGTGAATGAATGATACCAAGGGACCCAAGGACAAGGCTTTTAGAAGGCAGCTCTGCCAGTGCCCACTTCAGTCCCCCAGGCTGTACTAGCCACAAGGCTTCTCAAGGTGGGGCTTTGGGCATATGGTTCCTTTATGCATTTTATCTGAGCCTCATTCCTCAGAACAATGTACTATCAGAGGAGAAAGGTAAATGTGACCAGGCCTGGTCACACTGAGCAAAGGGGCAGGGTGGAATGTTGTGAACCATACTACCCTTCTGAGAGTCTAGGGCACTGAAGCAGAGGGAACAGGCTTCCTCAGGCCTGGCTTCCTGAGGGACAGATGCAGATGAGGGCATCCTGCAACAGGGAACCACCAGACAGTGCACACACACAATGTCACCCCTTCTTTCTCAAATGGGTTCTAACAAGGCTGTGCCATCAACTCGGGCTCTGGAGTCTTGCTGTCTTTATGGTCAGGCTGCATAGCTAGCCAACCTGAAGAGAGGATAGCTGTGAGACGCTGCAGCAGATGCCAGTATGACTGGTGAGTAGAGCACTCTGGAAGTGAAACCATCGTCTCCAAGAGCTGGCTGCTTAATATCTGTCCTCACACAGAGAATGTGGGTTCTGAGACATAGGAAGCTGTGTTAGGAACAAGCAGCTTGCCCAGGTGCCTTTCAGCAGATCTTTCCTGTACTGTTTCCAGAGCTAAGATTAATGCCCTGTGAAGATTAGGGGCTGCCTATGCCCTGGCCCTTCCTGACAGTCTTTGAGCTGGTACTGGCCTGCAGGAGAGCCTCTGGGGTGCTTGCCAGCTGGTTGGCCCTTTCCTGCTTCCATAGGCTGGGCCTGTGGCTTCTGGTGACACCTCTTGGACAGAACTTTTACAGATGAGCCCAAGACTATAGGGTATTAATGGCTGCAGAAAGCCATCTTCCTTGGCTCAGTATTGGGACACTAGCACTTTCCCATGTTTGACTCCCCAGAAAGATGGGCACATCCCAATTGCAAAACCACCCCTCCTCCAGGCTGCTGGCTTCTTGGCTAGGCCTGCACAGGCAAGACTGGCTGCATCCTAAACTTGACCAGGGCATTCAGAACAGGTCAGGTTAGGGGATGTATGACTTGGGCTCAGCTTTGGTTTTAGGATCCCCTGAAGAAGTGATATGTGGCAGCTCACAGCTAGTGAGCTAACAGTATCCCTACTTTCTGCTGTCACAAAGCACCAGCTGCTAGCCCTGGGCAGATGAACCCTGGTTCCCACATGGCTCACATCTGCACCTGTGCTGTGACTCTGCATTAACAGATACACTGCCATGGCCAAAGGCAAAGGACCTTTGTAGTCTCAAGGCTACATCTTAGGGACAACACTGTATCTCCAGGTGGGATGTGATGCTCCACAGGGGAGGGAAGGAGAGGCCAAAGATCCTTCTAGCTCCACCTTAGGACCCGGTGAAGGTAGTGTTTCTGACACAGGCATATCACAGAAGGGCACCCCAGAGGGTGCACCTCTACCTGGATCTGCAAAGGGAGCCTTGGAAGAGGTGCTGGGTGTGATGTGTGTGGGTGTCTACAGGCCTGAAGAGTTCTGGAAGCTGTACCCCACTCATGTCCACTGTCCCTATGCTACTGTGCCCATTGACTATGATGCTGCACTGAGGACAGAGCCCTCTTTATTTTTCTGAGTATGGAGCTATGCATAAGTCAGGATGGCAGGGGAATGGGATATGGATCAGGGCATGTGGGCTAGAGGGCAAGGGAACTAGCCTGATGGATCCAATGTTGACCTGCTGTGTGGTGATACCTTCATCTGGGAAAAAGGAGTCTAAGTGGTAGTAGCTTGTGGGATGCTGCCTACATGTTATCCGGGGGTGACGCTCTAAGTTTCTAGGAGTTCCTAAGCTCCAGCTGTCCATATGTTCTATGGTCTTACTTCCTGCTGGTCTCACAAGTGAGGCTCATCCACCCAGGTGGGCTTCAGAATTCACTGACTAGCAGGCAAACCGTGGAACCTATGAAGTTGGGATCCACTTATACCAGACTCTGACGTTCAGAAGCTTGGTACTTCTTTTAACTCTAATCTCTCCCTATCTCAATACATTTTCTGCCTTTTATGGAAAAATGGCCACACTAGCAAATAAATATATAGTGATGTCACAGGTACAGGACTAGGCCAGTACATGATGGTGCTGGATGAGTAGATGGGGAGATGGAAGTTGGCCAGTATTCTTTTTGGCGTGGCCATGCTCACATCAGGCCACCTTACCTCTTTGGAACTCAATTTCCACTTTTTAAAGAATTAAGTGCTGAAAGGTATTCCAATATTTGATTAAATTCTGCCACTTAAAAATAATTTCTTGGTAAGTGAGCCAGTAAGTAGTGTTCATCTGTGGTTTCTGCTTGAGTTCCTGCCTTGACTTCCCTTAATGATGGGTTGTGACCTGGAAGTATGAACCAAATCCCCAAGTTGCTCTTAGCTGGACTGTTTTATGACAGAAACAGAAAGCATACTAGAACAGAATTTGGTACCAGGAAAAGTACAGTGTTGCCATGATGGACTTGACCATGTTGTTTTGGGGAGGACTGTGGAAGTGTTTGGAACTTTGAGCTGAAAAGTTATTGAGGTTGAGTGCTTAGAGCTCAGTTCTGTGAGCACAGAATAAGAACGTCAAGAACAATGCAGACAGCCTGGCTTGTGGAGTTGATATTCTGGATTAAGAATCAGTGGTTGCTGGTCAGTTGGGCTGAAGAATCAGCTGTAATTAACACGAGACTACCACGGCTGAAGTGGAACTTTTTGTACTTTACTGGAACAACAGATGCTGGTTAGCTGGGAAAGAAGAATCACTTGTAATTAATAAGAGATCAGCATTGTGGATCTTCTGTTGAATATTTTCTTGGGGTCAGCAAACAGAAGTTGTGTCCAAGGGGGCCAAGGCTAGCAGCATCTCAAGCAGGTAGTTGAACTTCGTAATATGTAACAGTTGCCCGCCTGGTACTGGTTTTGAAGGTATGAGAGATGCAAGATTGAGGAGGTCATGGAGAGCAGCTGAGACCCAGCACCACGTGGCAGGGTCAGAGTTTCTGAACAGAGGGGAGAGGCCTCTGGTGAAGGTAGAACCTCAGTTGCAGTGGAGATCCTGGCACACTGGAGATGCTAGGATCCAGGGACAGCTACCAAGGACAGCAGCCGGGGAAGAGGAGCCAGGCTGAGCCTGTGAAACAAGCAGTGTGCTGTGGATGGCAGAGTGAAGAGGTGGGGCTGCTCAAGCCCTTTGGAGCCCAGAAGATCGTGAACCTCAGATGCTGGACACTGAACACAAGATTTGGATTTTCACGGGTAGAGTTTGGTTTTGTTTTGAGCTGACTGTTTCTATGCTGCAGCCTTTCCCTTTTGGAAAAAGATGTAACTTTTTTTATTTTTTTATTTTTAGGAGCCCACAATTAAGAGACTTTTAAAGTGTTGAAAATTTTAAGAACTGTGGGACTTTTAAAAGTTGTACTGTATTTTATATTATTTTGTTTTTGATCTAGGGTCTCCCTGTAGCCCCAGTTGACTTGGAATTCGCTATGCTATGCAAACCAGGCTGGTCTTGATTTCACAGAGATGTGCCTGCTTCTGCCTCCTGACTGCTGGGATGAAAGGCGTGTGTAACTATGCCTGACTTTTATTATGATATTAACGTAAGACCTCGGGGACAAACAAGGAAAAGTTATGGTTTAAGAGTAGTGTTTATGTGTCAACTCAACAAGGGTGGATTGTGCTGGTTTCTTTTTATTGTCAACTTGACACCCTAGAGTTACTTAGAAAAGTGGGACCTTCCATGAAGAAATTTCACAGATCAAATTGGCTTGTGGCTATGTCTGTAAGCGATTACCTTGCTTGATGACTGATGTGGGGCCCACCCCACTGTGGGTGGGCACCATCCCTGAGCAGGTAAGTCTGGGCTAGCTAAGAAAGCCTGCTGAGCACGAGCCAGTGAGCAAGCCAGTAAGCAGCGTTCCCCCATGGCTTCTGTATTAGTTTCTGCTCTGACTTCCCTGAATGATGGAGTATGACTTGGAAGTATAAGCCAAATAAATATTTTTCTCAAAAAAGTAAAAATAAAGACCAGTTTTGGCTCCAGTGCCCCCAAATCATCAGAAGGGAGGGGATACAGGATGGAGCAAGGGAGGGGGGAAAGGCAGCAGGCAGGGGGAAAGGCAAAACATCATACTGCAGAAACACCTACGACTTTCCAGTCAGGGCTGCTTCAGAATATAAAACACAGACAAGGGTTCTTAAGTTTGCAGCTCAGTGAGTTGTCAGGCAACCATGGCTCATGGGGCATATACACCACTAATCTATACTTCATCGCACATGGGAAAATGCTTATAGCATCTTTTGCCCAATTTTCAAACAGGGTTGGTTGCTGCTGATTCACAGACTCTCTGCGCAGACTTCCCCAATGCTCCTCTTGTGAGCAGAATTCGATGCAGTCATTAAGCTCGCCAACACTCCCCTTTTTGGTCTGTTTGTGTTTTCTTTATGAATTCTTTACCTGACCAGAGAACAGGACA